ATTGTAATACAAAACAAAATTATATGACTAATATTATGATAATATCACTGATATAAATAAATTAGGTACTTAATTTTACTGTTAAAATTAATATAATATCGCGCAATTATTATTAGTTATTACTATTATTATGTAGATCTGTGTAATACATCTTTCTACAGTTGACAATTGCTGTTACTTTAGATACGCTTGTTCGGTAGTTATTAGTCATAATCATAAATTCATAACTAATAAATGTATCCAAAACCGCGTTTCTTTCTTTTATAATTTAAAATAATTGCGAGTTAAAAATATGTTCGAAATGTTTTTCGTTTAAAAACTAGGAATAATATTTGTTATAGACCAACCATCATAAAATGGTATATAATATTATGGTACCTACCTAAATAATCAATCGGTGTATTTACATAATAATTGTATTAATATCACATATAATACTTTAATCCGTTTCAACAACGCTTTTCCAGGTAAATACTTTTGCTCTACGCTTCGAGCTGAGTAACCCAAAATCAAATAAATTAATAAATAAATAATCAAACAAATAAATAAGATAATAAATAAATAGATGTGCCAAGGATGGGTCTCAAAATATGTTTTTCATAATTTGACTGAACTTGAGATAAATTCGACAGACAACAAAACTCTGTTGAGATTAACAAAAACTATTTCGGCAGTAGGGTATATATATATATAATAGGTATCGAAAACATAAAATTCGATGAATTTGTCAGTGCRACGATTCCAGTACTCCACTGGTACTCTGCGTGTTTCAACTTTCAATCAAACATAGAATATTATAAATTATAATATCGTGCATCCAGATCGAATAGGCGCGAAAACTATGACAAATTATCGAAATATTATGTTCACGGAGTTTATACAATAAATATTATTATTTTTTTTTTATGATAAAAATACGACCACGCGTTATACCGATAACATAATATAACAGTATTTCCTGCGCTCAATAAATAACTATCATCCTACTATATATGTGCGCATTTCGCATACTAACTATAACCGTAACTATACAAAATAACTACAACTATATAACTATGTTGAGCTAGACGAGGTACCGTATATATTTCCTAATGACTTTGAATATATGCTGCAACGCTGCGTCATGGATTGGAAAAACCGTCGTCTCTAACCTGCGAAAAAAAAATTGTCCATTATTATAATATTATCTTATGACAAAAATATATATCTGGTAATCGTAGTAAACTGAATTTATAAATATGATAATTATTTTTTAATACAATTTTTTTATTCATAGGCTTTACAAATTGTTAGGTACATTGAGCAATCAGCTAATTCATAATTAATTTACAATATAATACAGGTAATGACATGAAGTGCAGTTAAAAGAAGAATCCTCCCAGTGAGGAGGTATATATTGCACGATGAAATGAAAATCGTATTATATTTAATTTAATACGTACAGTTTAATGTTGATAATTATTATAACTTTTTATTATTAATAGGAAATGCGTCTTGCACTACTCACTTCAATGTGTCAACGTCGACTCTACGTCTGCGATGGTAGACGATTCTGACTTTACGTTGTCCGTGACAGTGGACGATTCCGCCAGTTTCTTTGCGTTTCTAGCCTGTACCAGTTTGTTGATCTCGTTGTAAGTGGTCATCATGGGCACCGAATCATCCGGCGATCTTTGGGACACGCACGATGAAAATATCATCTCGCAGTCTTTGTTGTCCTGACCGTCTTTGGCGGCTTTCATGTACTTAAAAAATCGCAATATCTCCGGATTCTCTGACGACGGTTTGCGCAATTCGTTCAGCTCTCTGGAACACAAAACAGTTACGGTCATAACTCATAGGGATTGATTTTGCCGACATTTGAAACACTACACTACCTACACTTCATGACGGTGAAAATTATTTTCGTATTACTGAAAATAGTGACTACGATATTATATTAAAAATAGATAACCATTATTTGTTTTAATAGGTTGCACTAAAATAATATCATAAATTATAATAAAAGATGATCATATTGATATTATATCATGAGCACCTATATAATAGTTTATAATTTATATTTTGTTTTTATATTTAATCTAGGCCTCTGCAGATTCTTGTAAACTTAAATTAATATTTGCTATTGTTTTTAAAATTTTTAAGATATTTTATAGTTTGGTTAATTATACACTAAAAATAATATCAAACACTATTATAATTTAAATTCAAACTTATATAAAAAAATGTGATTATATTAACAAATGGATTTATCCAAACTAAATTTACAAATACGTTGACTACTTTTAAAATTGCATTAATTAATTGATTCGCATCATCATAGATTAACGTGATTTGATTATAGTTATAGACTATAGTACACTATGTTTACTTTATGCATGTGATGCTGGTTTAATATGTACCTATTACTTACGTGATTCACGGTTTTACGATATAGGTAAATAATTTATTATATTGTTTATAAAATTGAAAATTTAATCTATAATATTATTCATGTTAATAAAAATTTAARCGAAAAGAAAATGGTGCTAAAATAAATTATATCCTAATCTCGAATAGGCTCGTGAACGGATTCTATATTAGTATGGTTTCGTATGATTAATTATAATAAAATTGAATTTTGTGTTTATATTTATTTCACGTGCGGTGATCAAATCCGTTTCATTAGTCATCAGAGAAAATATGCTAAACGTTCCTACAAATTTACAATTACTGATAGTGATTTTTGGCTGGATGATTGTATAATTAAACTTTCACATTTAKCCTCTTTTATCGAAATTACAAAAGCGTACGAAGAATTTTAGATAATTTTCAAGCATATGCTTTTTATCTATTCTATATATAACATAAACACACATAATTTATAACTAAACAAACCGGGTACAATATATTTTATTAGTTTCTAAAATGCGTTTTGATGTAAATATTAATTTGTATTTTTAAATAGGTACATTTTTCTATTTTTGAATAAATTATTCAAGTATATTTAAATAATTTATATTGTTTACTAATTAAAAACTTAATTGTACAAATTTAATAGTTTATTCTAACACGTATGTAGGTTCATTATACAATAGCAAATAAACATTCTCGCGGTTATTATAGTATAACCCAATTTAAATATTAAAATAAAAAAACTAATTTTTAATTTTGATTAAGGTACTTTATAATATGTTATAATTGTATATTTAATTAACAAAATAAACGCTCTATTTCAATTCAGATTACTWATTAAATTATTATTATGTGAACAAAATATTAAAATCTAATGAAGAGTTACTATTTGAATGTGATAGGTGTCTCGTGAATTCTATTAGATGAATGTAGATTMAATTAATAAATCATTGTGTGACACTCCAATAAGGTATACACCAGGTCACCAATTTATCATATAGGTACATAGTACATACATATTATAGTTAATTTGTTTTATAACTTTATAATCAAAACATGTATAGAAATATTTAAATAAATATTATTGTTCAAATAATTTAATATATATTTTTCAAATAGGTTTATATTATCTGTATTAATTAAACATGATTTAACAAAAATAAATATTATTTAATTTAATAAATGTAGGTACTTTGTACAATAATAATATGTTTTACGATTTTATTCTTATCATTGTGTTCATAATCAAATCAAAATTCAAATAAATTAATAACGTCAGGTAATGTTTGAAATAGTTATGGCACAAACCAGAAAAACAATATATGTATAGTTCCATCAATATTTTTAACTCCTTTTGTAAAAATGGGTGTATC